TGAGCGCTCCTGCAAAAATGTAAACATATCACAAGCACCGGAAGAGATGAGTTGTAGTTTTGGTTGTTGTTGAAGAGGTGGCAGGAGAGGTGGCCGTGTTGTAGAGCCACGAGGAAGGGGCTCAGAGCCCCACGGGGGGGGCTTTGGCCCCAGCCCCCAGCGGGGGCCTGCGGGGACCTGGAACAGCATAAAGCTGGGCTAGGTGCCTGTAGTTATGCCGGGAGATGCTTTTTCTCCATGGGCACAGAGGAGAAGCCGGCACTGACCAGAGAAACAGTGGCACAGAGCCAGGACAGATAAGACCTGAACCGGAGAAGCAACAGAGACATGCAGCACTGCAGAAAAGGACTCCTGGAAAGGGAGAGAGAGAGAGCCAGCAGCAGAGCTACAGAGTTTGGGGTAAAACTGTACCAGACCTCCCCCAAACTCCTTTGAGACCCCTCTTGGAAAAGAGGGAGATGGACTCCTATTTTGGAGAGTAGTTTTGGACATGCAGCACCGGAGAGAGAGAGAGAGGAGCTAAGAAGCTCAAAGACGTCCCAGAGCTGGACCAGGATGGCCAGATGGATTGCGGGGGGAGTTGACCTTGGCTCCCCCCTCGCACTGCTGCCACGGTGGCAGCCTGAAAACAGGGCACAGAGGCCCTGCAGGAGTTTGAGTCTCCTGGAGATACCAGACCGTCACGAAGACCCCCTGCGTCTTCGTGATAGGTCCTCCGGGCCTTTCTCTGGTCCGTCTCCAATTTTGCCCGGGTTATCTCCCTGGCACCGAGCTCTACCCAGCCCGTCCACTTGGCTCTGCTTCAGTGCTGAGCCTTCCCTCCCCTCTCTGATGGGGAGAGGGAAAACAGCCCCTTCCGCAGTGTGGCTGCAAAGGGGGGGAGGAAGAAGGGGGCTTGGCTGCAAGGCCTTCTCTCTCTCCCGCTTACCAGCTGTTTGTGAGTCTCGTGCCTCACAAACACACACTCACTCCAATGCTGCCTCCAACCCTGGCTTAGGCAGAGTTGGGGGGCTGCAGGGACACCCTTTGCCCCCCCGGAAGCGG